CCAGCAATCCGCAGGGATCAGGCTCCACAGGGATCAGGCTCCACGTAGCTCCTTGAACCGCTTAGTTTCTCTCTGCCTGAAAGCTGTCATGAAGTTGGGCCCTTGCACAGGGGGTTCGGGACTGCCAGCAAGAGGAGATCTCCACTGGCTCAGCTTGGGTTGGGGACCCAGAGTCATGTGTGGTGCAGCACCCCCTGCCTGGGATGGTGTTCCTTCCCAGATCCCGGGGGCTGGAAGAGGACCTGGGAAAGCAGGGAGGCTCTAGGGGCCGGATGGGGCTTTCCAGCCTGGTGGCCCACCCCTGGATGACCTCTTCCCAGAGCCGCCATGGGTTCTAAGGAAGAGAGACCAGTCCCCTTCGATTATGAGACCTCACGTTGGCTGGTGTCCCTTGGTTGTAGCTGCTCTTGGTGGGTGTCTGCCCATGCCACAGGGTCTCCCGGATCATTGCTTCCTTGGGCTGGTCCCTGGGCTGTGGGGTGGGTGAGGATGGTGCCAGGCTGGGTCCTGTACATCTGCCTTGTGCCCAGCCCTGCTGCTGTGGTTGGGAGGTGACGTGGCATCTGATGGTGTTGTGAGCCAGGAGGGTTGTGCTTGGAGCCTGTCTTGGAGATCAGCTTGAGGGTCAGTGGCAGCGGATATACAGATATCTATATCTGGTCACATCAGTGCACTTGGACTCCCAGCCAGGGTTGGCAGCTCCAGCTCTGCTGGGGACTGTTATTTCTGTTCTATGAGTAACCTCCTGAGTCTGCAGGGAGGTGGCACCTCTCTGGCTGGCAGGGTGTGCAGGGACATCCTGCTCCAAGGGAAGATCTGAGCTCTGGTTTGGCTGCCTCTCTGCTCCCTTGTATGGGACTTCCTGCTTCCAAAGGTAGTCTGTGCAGCCTCGCTCTGCCTTGGGATGATTGGAAGGACCACAGACCCTGGTGGATTCTACTGTGGGGAGTTCAACCTTTCTAGGAGTCTTCATGTGGTGCTTGGGGCAGGAGAAAAGTTACCAATACCAGGGAGATCACCATCACGGTGATGCCAGCTTAGGCCAGGGGGACCAGGGAGAATGGGTAGGGTGCTGGCTAGGGCTGAGCAAAGAGGTAGCTCCTTTCCATAGGGGTGTGAGGCACACAATGACCTTCTGCTCTTGGTGATGACCAGCCTTTAATACTGTTCTTCTCCCCCAGATGCCAGCCAGGATATCACGGAGAGAGATGCCATGGCCTCTCGCTGCCTGTGGAGCACCCCCCCAGCGCATACGACCACACCACAGCACTGGCCGTTGTTGCTGTTGTCCTTTCCTCCCTGTGTCTTGTCACCATCGCAGCCCTGCTGATGCTCAGGTAAGTGGGATGGGGCTGAGCTGTTGGATCTGCATCCCTGGGAAGACCACGTGGAGGGGAGGGTGGCAGGGACATCTCCATGACCTGAGTATCTGCTTGGCCTCACAGGTGTCACAAGAGGGGTGTCTACGATGTAGAGAGCGAAGAGAAAATCAAGCTGGGCATCACTGTGAATCACTGAGGATGCCGGGTGCTGGCAAGGTGAGCCCCTGGCTGGGTATGAGGCAGTGGTGTGGCTGGGGATCTGCTTGTCCAAGCTGGCTGGGGCCACTGTGTGGATCCTGTGCCAGAGCCAGGCAAGAGTTGAAGGCAGTATGAGCCTGGAGAAAGCAGCTCACTGGATTTGGCCTGAGAGCCTGGGATGCCTTGTGGGGCTCTAGTCTTTCTTCCTCCCCTTCTGCTCAAGCCCTTGTCCCTTGACAGCCCTGCCACCATCACCTCCTTTCAAACATTAAATCCCTGCTTTGCCCTGTCTCTGCATGCTTTAGGGACATTTGGCAGTGGGGAAGATGCTTCTGGGGTTTTTTTTTCCCACCCTGTTCTGCTCCCTCTCTGACCCTCTGAGTCACTTCCGCTCTTTAGATATTGCCTCTATTTTTATATATAGAAAAAACCCTTCCTTTTCACTCCTACTCCTACTCTGCTTATTACTTGCACCAATGCAATGCCTTGCAGCTGGGTATGGGGATCTTGCTGCCAGCCCCATGTGACATTGCTCTGGCTGGGTGGTGGCCCCATGGCCGGGTGCTGGACAGCTTACAGACTTCCTCTGCTCTGATCCAAGCCCTGACGTTAGATGTGCCCATACAGATCACAGCTACTTCTCTTTTCTTAAACAAAAAGGAAAAACTTTGTTCTTTGTAGGGATGAGGTAATGCCTTCAAAGAATTTCTGTAATGTTGGTTAACAGTGCTGGGGGTGGGAATTTTTAGCTGTTTATCAGAGGAAGCTATTTTGAGGAAGGGGATTCAGCACAAGGCTTTTCATGTGTCCCCTCTGCCCTGGGGATTATTGAGATGGATGTGTCCAGGGGGCAAAGTGCTGTGGTCCCTTGGAAGGGCAGTGTGGTGAGATGCTTACCCACTGCTCCCCTGGCAATCCTGGCTCCCATCCTCCTCAGCCCAGCACTGCAAGGCAGCGAGTGGCTGCTGCTGCGGTTGCTGCTGGTGCATGGGTTCTCTTGAAGTGGGATGAACACCTTCCCACCACACAGGAACTGCCCTGGGCTGTGTTGTGAGCTGCTCTGCTTTGTCTTGCAGGGGTCGGCACTAATGCACTTCTACCTCCTGGAAGAGGCGAGAGCCACGGAGCCAGCGCTATCCCTGGGTGCTGGCTGGAGCAGCAGGGCAGCATCTGCTCTGCGGCTGCTCCAGCAGCGGTGTCACTGCAGGGAGCTCCGTGGCCACCCCCGGGATGGAGCTCGGAGAGGTGCTCGCTGGCTGCATGGAGCAGGAGGGACGGGCCGGCGGCAGCTCTCCATGTGCTGCAGTGCACACCAAGAACAAGCTGTGAAAGGAGGAGAGCAGGCTCGGGGCTTGCTGCGGCGCAGGAGGGGCGGGAGGGTAACAGCTATTTAACAAGAGATTTTTCATTTTAAATTATATATTTATTTTAGATAAACTGTACATAGTATTTATATTTATTGTAGGTCTGGCCCCTGCATCTTTCATGTAGGTCAAGGTGACCGGGTCAGACCTCCCTTATTTTTTAAGTGCAATGTTAATATTCTAATAAATAACACTTTGTTACAAACACTTGTGTTGTTCATTTAACAATGGAATTGGAAAGGAATTGGAACTCTGAAGACCAGTGGGGATCTGCAAACAGTGCAGATCCTGAGTGTATGGCAGGAGGTGCTGGGCTGACTCGTGCCATGTTGGGGTGCAGCAGAGCAGCGTGGTACCAAGGCTCTGGTGGCAGTGGCTGTCCTGCAGCCACATCACTCCCATCTGCGTTTCTGTTGCATCTTTCACAGCTGATGCCCTGTGAGGGATGTGCTTTCTTGGTGTCTGCTCACCAGCAAGTGTAAGTGAAGCCCTTCTGGCCACCAGTTCATCCAAATGGGACTGAGTCCTAGTTTTGAGCAGTCCTGGGGGATTGCAGCCTCCGGGGCTGGGGGTCTTGTGAGCAAGCATCATTTCAGATGGTGGCTCAGGATTGACTCCTGACTTTGCAGTAAAAATAACCCCCGAACCACTTTCATCTTCCCCAGGGGACCTGAGATCAGGGTAAGATGCTGTCTCTCGAAGCAGAGAGAGGACTTCCCCTGCAGGAAACCTGCTTTCATCCAGCCCCTTTCCCTTCAGCAGATGTCAAACTTTAGTTTTCAAAGGAAGTGCTAAGCTACTGCTTTCCATTCTTACTCTTACAGCGTGCACTAAAGCTGGGCAGGGAGTAGCTTGTGGAGCTTTTTGGCCTGACTTAGCCAAAATCCAGCTCTGGTAAAGCCTGAAATAAGCTTTATGCCCACTGGAGGAGGGGTTGCTTGGGAAGCCAGTGCATAGGTTCATCCCCCTTGCGCAGTCAGTAAGTTTTGCAGCAGCAAAGCCCAGGGTGTGGGAATGCAGCAATACTTTGGTATTCCAATGCTTCACAAGATAAAAGGGCTAAAGTACATGGCTTGGGCAGGTTGGGAAGCAGATGACTGACAGCGGGCACCCTTTTGTGTTATCACCTGGAGAGTAAAAGCTGCTGCAGTGGCCTGAGTCTTGGAGCCAGGGAATCAATTTATTGGCTCTGAACCTTATTGGCTGTGGGAAGGCCAGTTTAATCAGAGACTCCAAACTTTGGCTTTTTTCAATGTCTATTAAGCAAATAATGCCACCAGCTGCTATGTAGGAGGCCATTCTGCTCCAGGGCATCTGGCTGTGTCCCTCCCTTGCTGTGCTGCTTCCCTTCCTGGACCCACTCCTGCTCTAGCCCTGCTGCCTTCCAGCTGTTCGCGGTGGGCAGCTCTGCATGCCTGGGGCTCCACACCACCCCAGCAGGCACAGGGAGAGCTCTGCTCCGCCTGTTCTGCAGGCAGCTGCCCTTTGTCCTGCAAGGACGGGTTCTGGTCCACTTTGCTCCTCTATGGGCTGGGCTACCCACAGGTAATTTAACAAGCCAAGAGATGGGAAACGTGTTTTGGAGATACAGGCACTGGGGAGCTGGCTGGATCCATGGGCTGGCTCCCCTGCCCCACTAGACTGGGAAAGGTTGACAGTCCTATGGATGTTCTCTTCCTAGCTAAGGCAGAGATGAAGCCCATGGGGCAGCTCCCTGGTATGGCTGCACCTGTGGCCATGAACAGGAGGTGCCCCAGCGCCCGACTGGGGTGTGCAGACCCAGTGTACCCATGCACCGCAGGGCAGACCAGGCTGCTCGCTTCACCATGCGCGCAGGAGCAGGGTGCCAGGAACGTGGCCTGCACCACCCCGCTGTCTGCCCTAGGCAGGAGCCGCTGCCGCAGCGCCGGGCCAAGCTGCGCGGGGAGGGCTCCTGGCGAAGGCAGCGGCAGCCTCCAGCAGCCCCAGCCCAGCCCTTCAGCCCCGTCCGGGCACGCACCCGGAGGTGCACCCCCTCACCCCATGGCGTCGAGCCCCGCTCCGACCTCCGGCACCTCCCCTCAGCTCCCCCCTGCCTGCACCTGCACCTGCCCCGGGCACACCCGGAGCCCTGCGCTCCGCCCCGCGCATGCGCAGCAGGACGCGCTGCCGGCGCTCCCCCCCCGCGCAGGCGCTGTGCGCAGACAAGATGGCAGCGCCCGTGGACCTGGAGCTGAAGAAGGTACGAGCCCCACCGCGGTGGCCAGCGGCTCCTCGCCGCGTCTGCCCGCGTTCCTTCTCCTCTGCACACCCCGCGCGTTCGGCACCCGCCGCCCGCCGCCTGTGAGAGCCGCCCCTGATGGTCGCTGCTCTTTCCCCCTACCCAGGCTTTCACGGAGCTGCAGGCGAAGGTGATAGACACGCAGCAGAAGGTGAAGCTGGCCGACATCCAGATCGAGCAGCTCACCAAGACGAAGAAGCACGCACACCTCACCGACACTGAGGTCATGATGCTGGTGGACGAGACCCGCATGTACGAGGGCGTGGGGCGGATGTGAGTACCTGTGGCTGCGGCTCCCTCCTGTGTAAGGAACGGCTGCTGGGGCGGACCCGGTGCTGCGGTGGAGCGGGGTGGTGGTTACAGCCCTGTGCACAGGGACACCCCAGCCTCTGCGTGCAAGAGGCCCCTAGGCTGCTGCTTGGGCAGCTCTTCCCTTTATGAAGAACACGCCAGGTTTTCCTCACTGTGTTCATTTGTTTCATTTTTCTCTGTCTTTCAGTTGTAGCAATCTGCTTGGGAATGCAGTGAGACTTACTGGGGTTTAGCTCTTGGGGTTAGCTACTGACTGCCTTGAAGGAGGACTTATAAATGTTATTGGCTTTGTGTGGGTTTGCTCCTGGCCATGATGGTCTTGTCTGGCATCTCTGGGAAGTCTGGAACCTACCCTAGCAAATCAGCATTCTAATGAAAGCCGGCATTGGTGAGAAGACTTTCAGAGATCTGTGCAGCTTCAGTCATTTCCAATGTAGTTTACATGAGATTCCTTGAAAAAAGCTTGTGCACAGTTCATGTGCTCAGGACTTTGCTTCCAGAAATGTTCTACAGAAATTCCCTTTGCAGTATCATCCAGAGAATGGATCTAATGCATGTTGCCTGGGTTTTTTATACTCCTGGAAGAGAGCATAAAGCTCTTATGTGTAGTCCTTAAAGATGTGCTTCCATTGTTGGATGACTGTCAAGAGAAATACCTTTGACCAGAACTAACATGTTTTGATCAATTTCTACAATATACTTATGTTTGACGATGTCAGCCTCTGATAGAAGACCCTACAAAGTGGTTTCAAATCTGAAACATGGGCTTACTTGGTAAATATCACACTGGATTTCTAATTGGAGAGTACTATGGTTATTCTCTTGAGTTTCTTGTGAGTTGGGTAACAGTGATGACTCTGCTCAGCTCAGGATGTGGTTTTGCAAGACAAAATCTTCCCTGTATCCTGCCAGAAAGGGTGATGGTATCGACCTCTTCCCCACCTTCTGTTTACTCCACCTTCTTGTGCCAAAGCGGGTGATCACAGGGCCAGGCAGTGAGCCAGGTTAGACCACAAGTGCCCTGATCCATCAGATCATGCAATCTTCAGATGGAGCTGTAGGGAGGTGGCAGGACTGGGCAGCCAAACTAGTCTGTAGCTTGTCCTTAGCTGCAAGTTGTCAGATGAGGTTGTTCCCAGGCTAATGGAGTTCTTTGGAGTGACAGAGTCTCCTTCTTGGCTCCCAGTAAATACATTTTCCCATGCAGGTGAATTGAATGTGGGGTTTATGAGGGGATGCTAGCGACTGGTACCTTAAAAGGAGATAGATTTAGCTCCCTTGAAAGAGGTGACTGATTTGACCCGGGCAGGCTGTAGGCGTAGGGAGCAGTCATGTTTGGAGTAGTCATGAGACGACTCAAAAGGGTTTTTCTTCTGTTTGGTTTTGTCACAGAGCAGACAAAGAGTAGAAGATAATTACAGAGTCAATGATTTTTTTTTAAACCTGCTTTAAAATCCAAAAGTGTGGAATATTTCTCCTGTATGGGGAATTCCCTCAAGATACCTTAAAAATGAGTGTATTATCATAAAGTGATCCTGCTTGTGAATCAGATGCGAGTTGAAGATGCCATTTCAGTGCTGGCTAGAATGCATTGTCCTGCTTCTGCCTCACACTTAGGAGTAATAGATGCTTACCTTCTTTGTGTCCTACGCAATTTACTTCCTCTGGGCCTCTTCCTTTGCTCACTTTTCTGTGACCAGACAGGTGGCTTGGGCAGCTCTCGCTCATCCGGGATGGCAGAGGCACCATCAGAAAAAATATTTGCATTATGATAGTGCTCAAAAGCTTTTCACGGCCCTTGTTGTCCTAGTTGCTATGCAAATACAGATTAAGAGAGTGTTCTTCCTCTGAATACTACTCATTGATACAATATTTCTGTGAGCTCTGCCTGTTCTGTGCCATGGGGCTGAAGGCTGCCTTGCCAATTGGCAGCAATGCTCTGGTGTGATCTGTGTTACTCCCTAGTGTGGAGAACAGGCATCAGGAACACAAGGTTCTTCCTGGAGGCCACTCCAACTATTAACAGAGGATTCATTGCTGAAATCTGGGCTAGCAAAGCAGGCTAAAGCAGCGCTTGAGCAGGAGTTGAGATACCAGAAGGCCCTTATTTTGTGTTCCACTGAAGACCAGAGGAGGTGGTCGTGGTTCTTCTGGACATACAAACCATGTTCTGTGAAGTGGAATTGCAGTTTTTAATTTGTTGGCTGTGTTGGCTTGCATAGATGTGGGGGTTCATCCACCAAAACAAGATTTATGACATCTCAGTTTCTTTTGCTTAGCGTAGCGTGCAAAGGTTAGAGCTCTGGTGGGCTACAGTTATCCAGAAAGGGTGGAGGTCTGCATCAGTGTTAACTCTGATTGTCAGTGCTCTTCTGACAGCTTGCATGAATAGCTCCGTTCTTTGAAATAAGTTTTGTGCTTCTGTTTCTGTGCTCAACTTTTTTTTCCTTCTTTTTTTTTTCCCCTTCTTTAACCCATTTAACCTGCTAGTTACACTCAGGCTTCTGATAGAGCTTCTCTGTTTCTTCTCCATCTTTGGTGGTTTGGGTTGCGTGCTAGTACGTACGCTTCTGTAGGATGAGATACTTCAGGCCTTTGTGGAATTTGAAGGCTTGAGGAACTATGGTGATGTGCATCCTGGGAGGAAGTCTGCCTAGTTCAGTACTTGTTTCTGCACTTCTTGGAAAGCAGTTCTGTGGTTTTTGTTCTTGGAACCCCTATCTTGAACCTCTTTCGTTTCCCAGAGGCTTTCCAGGCACCACTGGTGAATGTGAAAGTCCACTTGTTGTTCCTCAACTTGGTGTCTCTTGGGTTTTCTTTTGGTCTTTTTTGTTAATATTGTAGTGGGTTTAATACTGTAGTGGGTATAACATGCAGAGGCCTTACTGGCTTCCACATTTGGGGCTCAGTTTACTTCTGCTATAGCTATTTTTGGTTTGACATGAGAAATGTCAGTGCCACATAGTATGAGATGATGAATTGCTGTGTACTGTACGTATCCATGAGGCTGGGATATCATCTGGGTGGTGGCATCTTGCCAAATACATTTCAATTCTGTTACTTCATACTCTTTTGAAAGGCCTGTTACGTAGCCTGAGACACTACCACTATGCTGGACTTCTGCTTAAGCTATTTGTGAACTGATATCATCATCTTGCTTTGAGAGCTATGCTGAAAGTTTAAGCTTCAGAATTCTGTCTGAATATTTCAGACCTTTTGCTTTACATTCTTTTAATCCATAACCTGGACATGATCCTTATTTACAGAAGAAAAATGTCTGGCACTTGTGCTAGGCACAGTGGGGAGCACACTGCAGTTCAGATAGTCAGTTTTGGTTTGATATTGCTTCATCATCAGTTTACTTCTACAAATGGGAGAACACTTACAAAACTAAAGTGTAAGAAAGCAAAAATTAAGCAAATACTGTAGCAGAACTTTATGTTCAAGGGTTTCTGCAAGTATAGTATATTATTACAGCTATTACAGTCCCTATAAAATGACTTTGTGCAAGTGTAGTATTCTTTGGGGACAGCTTCAGTAAGAAGATTTTGACTTTATTTTTTAATGGTAGTTCAGATTTTTGATGGCTGAATCATACACAAGTGAAACCCAGGAGAGGATTAAACATTCTTGATTGTTCCTGGGATTTAGGCGCGTTCCTGTTTTTACTGTACTTCTGGTTTTGTTTGAAAAGGAGCCACCATAAACCCTTGTAAGCTCTTTCCTGGACCCCTGAAGACAGCAGTCGCTACCTCAAGTTGCTCGGTGTAGCCATAGTAGCTGCATTTTTACTGTAAGTGTGTATGTGAGATGGGTGCTGTTCTATCCCAGCAGCACGAATCACTGAGGGTATGGTGGCTGTGCTGTGGTTCCTGCTTGCATTTCAAAAACCTCCCAAAGAATTGAAGGACACTCAAGGCTTAATCTTTATGGATCAGTTACCAACTATAGGCTGCCCTGTGAAATCGGAGCAGTTTCTCTGTTGCCATCTCCTTGAGCAAGGCTCTGTGCAGAGCTCAGCACTGAAGCCCAGCTGCTGAGCACTTAACAGGTGTTGAAGTACTTAAACGAATGCCAGGGACAAGCACATTGCCATCGGCCTCTGCTCAATTTGTAGTTTATAAACTTGAAGCTTCTCTATGTAGCCTTTTGGAAAAGGGAAGATTTTAGTTCCCCCAGTACATATGGTGTGTGTAGGAAGTACAATCAGGCACCCAACTGCAAAGGAAACAAAATTTGTGTCCAGCTGTTTGACCGCTGTTTATGCTGTATGTTGAACAAGACCAATATGTTCCTTTCTCTACACATTTAATAAGGGTAGTGGTTCCACCCAGGGAAGTGGTGGACTCCCCATGCTGGACACATAAACTGAGCTATCAGGGCATTGGGACATCTAGTCTAGTCACACTTTGCCTAGAAGGGTTAGACCAGGTGATCCTTGAGGTTCTTTCCAACCTGGGATTCTAGGATTCTGTGAAGTGTTGGGATATGGTGATGAGGACTCAAAGGCTATGTCGCATGACACGTGCATAAGCCATAACTTTTTCCATCACCCAGGTTTTTATTTCAGGCTTTTCTTGATTTTTGAGCTGCTCCCTTTTGCAGCAGCCTGAACAGTGTTCTTCACAGCAGGCCTATGCAAGTTTGCAAGATCTTCTTAGAGAAGAAGATTTTTGCTTCTTAAAGCAACAATCACAACGATGCACACAGGGGTAACACATACACAAGCCTTTGACTTGAGCAGTAAAGGGGCAACCGTCAGTTGTCATCTGGCTGATCAAGAGTGTTAGAGGAGAGCAGCTGGACAGAGGGATACACGGTTGACTGCTGACAGTAGTGGGATACTGGGATTCTGGACTTCTATCATCTGTTCTGGATGAGAAAGGAGCTTGTTCTCTTAGGCACAAGCTCCTTTTCCACCTTGACATCTTCTGCTATCTCAGACATGATCCTCTGCCCTT